AGCAGCTTTCGTTGCTCCTGCATAAAACAGTGGCTTCTTTGTTTTGCTTTTTGACCGGGTGCTTCCATCTGCGTATATCATCCATCTCGGGCTTTGCTTTTCAGAATACCTGGTACTTTCCTCTGTTTCCACTGAGAAGAAAAACATCATCCAGCAGTTGACGAATTTTTTCAAGAAAGATTGAGATCATGATACCGACAAAACTTTGCTTTTCAGGAACACTACAACAGCGGTCCGCGAAGCTTTAAAAAGGGCTGGTGCTGCACAGGAAGCAGCACAAAATGCGATACAGGATGCAACACAGCAAATCGCCGACGCCCGGTTTCTGTCTTTTAAAGATTTTTAAAAGATATTAGCAAATTTGCAAATTGTTTTAACATTACTTACGTGCATGCATGTGAAGGACTGAGTTTTTATATGCAGTGCGAAAAAAAAAGACATTAATTTGTTGCTTTCGGTTTGATGCAGGAATGACCTGGAGAGTGCAAATGATGGATTGAGGGTTGCTGAAGAGGCAGCGGCAAAGTCAAACGAATCATTAACCAAACTGGATACTGATATGAAAAATGTTAGCGTTCAGTATTTGGAAATATCGGAACATGCCAGGATTGCGTATGAAGCGGCTGACAAAGCTTTGCATCAGGCAGTTTTGGGTAAAACTGCCAATGAGCAACTGAAAGTAAGTGAATCTCTTATTCTTCTCTTATTGCAAAAATTACTGACAGAGGTGATCAGAAGCGCGATCACTGAAGGCAAGTTAGTAAATCTCATTTTTTTGTTTCAAAGTATGCGTTGGTTAAGACATCTATCGCTTTCCCGACCTCATAGTTAGTTGTTCTTTCAATAGTCCGTTCTTTTCACATTTTTCTTGAAAAATTTCAGGCTTCATTTGATAAAGCGAAAGAGCTTCTGTCATCGAGGCATAAGGGTAACGAGTTGCCTCAGGCTCGAGCTGAAGCTTTGCGTAAACGGGCAACTCAACTTTTACACAAAACGCAGCGGCACCGTGCCGATATTTACCGTAAGTTTCTTTATTATCCTGTTTTCCAGTAGAGACCAAATTAGCGATACTTATTAGGAACACGATATTTCACTGACTGTTCTCGTTAAATTTTTTATTTTTTAAAACTAGTGCTAAAAACAGTGCGCGAACTTAATGTGCGCAAACTTGATGAACCACTTGTATACCTAAGCAACAGTTACGGCATCTAGTAAAATTCGGTTCGGCCGAGCTAATGCACTCGTCGGTAAGTTTCACTGAGGGTTGCTAAAATCGTAGTCGTGCACAACTGTCGGATTTTGTTTCCAGTGAGGTTTGGGACAAGTACAAGCACATTGGTTTTCACTCAGCGCTAGTTTCTTGACTAGCCGTAAACTCATGTGCTCTTTCCCTCCTCCTCTTCACTTCTTGCCTCCAGAGAAGGC